CTGGTGTGAAGTATGGAGTCTGTACTCCTCAGCTCTTGCCTCATTTTCTTTGCCCCTTATGTTTAGATTATTTGACTGGCTAAACCCCAATTGCAAAATTCAGCTGTCTTGCCCTGGCAGAAAGCAGGCAGCAGCAGCCACCACGTGTGGCTGTAGGGGCCGCAGAGCACTGACCACAGGAAGAGTAGGACATAGTTACCTTTATCAGCGTCTCCCCCACTGGCTGGTAAGCAGCTTGAGGGCAGGCTTTGAGCTTCTTCGCCATTGTAGTCCAGGGCCAGGAAGTATTTGTTGATAGAGAAGGAGGTAAGACTGGTTGTCCTTAATAGTTAAAGAGTCAGCACATCACTAGTTACTGTTAATTATTGACCACCTATCCTCTTGTCCTTGGTGAGCAAAGTGTTCAGCAGGAGCACGGGGAGGGGCCTCTCTCTAAACTGATAGAATTGTTTAAAAGAAAAAGCACTGCTGACAGGTGGGTGCCCAGCAGGTGCCTTCCCAAGCCCCGGCCCGCTCTGGCCCTCCAGTAGAATCTTTTTTAGCAGAGACAGAGCCCTCTCTCTCTGTAACTCCCCCAGAGTGCTTAATATAGTGTCTTACACATGCATGTGAAATGCTTGTTGACTGATGGTCCTTGCGTCCAATTTCTCTGGTTTCCTCAGAGAGCCGTTGTTAGGGGGCTTAATTAGAAAGAAATGTTGACTTTTAACATGGCCTTCTCTCTTACCAGCTGGAGGAGTTTTCAGGGAAACGTTTGCATTTTAGCTTAGCTTTTTAGACGTTCCTGTTCACAGGTGTATTCCGAGGAACGTTTATCAGAGCAACAAGGATAAGGGTGAGGTTAGGCTCTCACACTCAGGTCCTGGGGTCACAGTTTAGTAAGCGGCACTTGAATGGTTTCTGAGGGTTTGTTCCGTGGTTTGAAAAGTATTACACCTGACTTATGCTTCTCACGTTTATTACATGGCTGTAGCATCTGTCCTTTAAAAATCTACCAACAGCAACAGCAAAACCCAAATCCTTTTCCTTCTGAAGACTAACAGGTTAAGTTGAAAGAAAGCAACGCCTCGGTACCATGGTTTTTATGTTACAGAATGCAGCAGTCCTGCCCCTGGCCCAGGAAAAGAATGGGAAGAGTATGTGCAGATCCGGTCTCTAGTTGAGAAAATACGAAAAAAGCAAAAAGGTACGTTTTCTAGTATCATCATAGTTTCATAACAGGTGGAAACTTAGTGTAAGTCAGGAAGGTTTTGAGAGTAGTCGCTGTCTCAACAGCCTTCGTGCCTGTCCGTAGCAGCTGCTGCAGGGGGGCGCTAGACTGGGAGAGAGATTGTCCTGGACAAACTGTCAGGGTGTCTTCCATGTCGGAGATGCTGGCATCAGCTTTGGAAGAGGTAGAAACGTTGAGCTTTAGGAAAAAAAAGTTTTGGTTTGGGGCTAAAATGATGTAGCTTTAATTTATTTACTTTTATTGTATGAAATATATATTTAAGTCTGCTTTTTCATACTGTACGTCCTTTAAAGTTTGAGGCTAGTATGTAATGGTGTGTGTGATCCTCACACAAATACATACTGATTGGTTAATGCATTATACAATGTTTATGATTCACTCAAACATACGTTGACTACATAAGAGCCATAGTTAAATTTCTGAAGCACTGTTTTTACAGGGTGCTCCCTGGGTGGTGCAAATGGTTTGTGCTTGACTACTAACCTAAAGGTTGGTGGTTTGAACCCACCCAGCAGTGCTGTGGAAGAAAGGCCTGGCAGTCTGTTCCATGAAGATTACACCAAGAAAACTCCATGGAATCCTCATGAGTCGGAATTGACTCAACAGCAACAGCAATGGGTTTGGTTTTTTTTTTTTCCACTCAGTATGGATCTTAATGATTCTTAGCCAGGCTGGCAGTGGGGCTCACTGACGCTCAGTGTCAGTAAAAAGCTTCTTCACTGTACCTATTGTTTTTGCTCTGTAAAGCACAGAAATAAAGGTTGGTGTGCAGGGCCACACTGGAGGTAGAAGGAGAAAGCAGGAGGAGCAGGCGTTTGAAAGGATCTGGCAGTCCGCCTTAGACTTCCTTTTTTAGTATCAGAAAAGGCAGTCAGAGGAGAGTTTGTTTTTCATTTGCTAACTTTTTAAAGCTCTACCATGCACGTCTTTGAACACGCAGTCTTTCGGTTAGATGGCCTCAGACCCCAAAACGGTCAACAGCTGGTTCCCTTATAATGTTTTTATTTGCAGTAAATGCTAGCGGGCCTGGAAGGGGTACGCTGCGCTAATTCTATCTCATGAGATAGGTAGCCGAAACATTTTTGTGTGTCCTCAGTTTCTGTTCTGAGTAGATACCACTTACTAAACTGCCACCAAAGGTAGAGCGTTCGTTGGTTCTCAGTGAGTGAAGAGTGACTCGTGTCCTAGAGTATCTCTAACTCAGTCATTTTCTTCAGTCAGCAGGTTTCTTTCACGGTCTGGTGTGGCACAGCACTGTGCCAGGCTGTTACAGCTCCTCACCTGTGGTGCTGCGAGGGCCGCAGGCACAGGGGCCGGATCCCACGCCCAGCTCCTCGGTTAACAAAGTTCCTCTTCCAATCCTTGCACCCACCAAAAAATCACGGCTTTTCCTACATGGGACTTTTAATCTTTATAAATATTTCCGAATGTTTTTCTTCCCTTTTTCTCCCCCTCCACCACTCATCTGTCAGTTTGTCATGCTGTGGTAACTTGCATGTTGCTCTCATGCTGGAAGATGTCACTGGTATTTCAAATACCAGCAGGGCCACCTGTGGTGGACAGGTTTCACCAGTGCCCTCAGACTCAGACAGACTGGGAAGAAGGACCTGGTGATTTACTTCTGAAAAAACGGGCCAGTGAAAGTCTTATGGATAACTGTGGAACATTGTCTAGTGTACTGCCAAAAGACGAGCCTCCAGGGCTGGAAGACACTCAGAATTCAACTAGGGAAGAGCTGTCTCCTCGAAGTAGAGTCGACCTTAATGATGTGGATGGAATCAAGCTTTCTGGGACTTCGTTTACTGATGTGGCACGACTCAAAATGAGAAGAAACAGCTGCAAACATCCATTAATAATCAGAACGTGGAATGTACGAAGTATGAATCAAGGAAATTTGGAAGTTGTAAAAATGAAATGGAACACTTCAAGATCAATATCCTGGGCGTTAGTGAGCTGAAGTGAACCGGTATTGGCCACTTGGAATCAGACATTCATATGGTCAAAGTACGACCTTGAGTATATCCCACCTGAATTTAGAGACCATCTAAAGAATAGATTTGACACATTGAACACTAATGACCGAAGACCAGGAGAGTTGTGAAATGACATCAAGGATATCATACATGAAGAAAGCAAGAGATCATTAAAAAGACAAGAAAGAAAGAAAAGACCAAAATGGATGTCAGAAGAGACTCTGAAACTTGCTCTTGAATGTCGTATAACTAAAGCGAAAGGAAGCAATGATGAAGCAAAACAGCTGAACAGAAGATTTCAGAGGGCAGCTCGAGAAGACAAAGTATTATAACGAAATGTGCAAAGACTTGTAGATAGAAAATCAAAAGGGAGGAACATGCTCAGCATTTCTCAAGCTGAAAGAACTGAAGAAAAAATTCAGACCTCAAATTGCAATATTGAAGGATTCTATGGGGAAAATATTAAACGACACAGGAAGCATTGAAAGAAGATGGAAGGAATACACAGAGTCAGCATTTAACCATTTCAGGAGGTAGCATATGCTCAAGAATCAACGGTACTGAAGGAAGAAGTCCAAGCTGCACTGAAGGCATTGGCAAAAACCAGGGCTCCAGGAATTGACAGAGTAATAATTGAGATATTTCACCAGATGGGTGCAACACTGGAAGTGCTCACTCGTCTATGCCAAGAAATTTGGAAGACAGCTACCTGGCAACCAACTGGAAGAGATCCATATTTGTACCCATTCCAAAGAAAGGAGATCCAACAGGATGTGGAAATTAACAAACAATATCATTAATATCACACAAAAGTAAAATTTTGCTGAAGATCGTTCAAAAGCAGCTAAAACTGTACACTGATAGGGAACTGCCAGAAATTCAAGCCAGGTTCAGAAGAGGACGTAGAACAAGGGATATCATTGCTGGTGTCAGATAGATCCTGGCTGAAAGCAGAGAATAGCAGAAAGATGTTTACTTGTGTTTAATTTTGACTATGCAAAGGCATTGGACTGTGTATCATAGCAAATTATGAATAATGCTGTGAAGAATGGGAATTCCAGAATACTTAATTGTGTTCGTGAGGAATCTGTACTTAGACCAAGAGGCAGTTGTCTGAACAGATCAAAGGGATACTGCGTGGTTTAAAGTCAGGAAAGGTGTGCGTCAGGGCTGAATCCATTCACCATGCTTATTCAGTCTGTATGCTGAGCATATAAGCTGAGAAGCTGAACTATATCAAGAAGAACAGGGCATTAGTATTGGAGGAAGACTCATTAACATCCTGCAATATGCAGATGACACAACCTTGCTTGCTGAAAGTGAAGAGGATTTGAAGCACTTATTGATGAAGATCAAAGATCACAGCCTTCAGTATGGATTACACCTCATCATAAAGAAAACAAAAATCGTCACAACTGGACCAATAAGCAACATCATGATAAATGGAGAAAAGACTGGTTGTCAAGAATTTCATTTTGCTTGGATCCACAATTAATGCCCATGGAAGCAGCAGTCAGGAAATGAGAAAACGCATTCCACTGGGCAAATCTGCTGCAAGAGATCTCTTTAAAGTGTTCAAAAGCAAAGATGTCACTTTGAGGACTAAGGTGCACCTGACCCAAGCCATGGTGTTTTCGTTTGCCTCATACGCATGCAAAAGCTGGACAACAAGTAAGGAAGACCAAAGAAGAGTTGATGCCTTTGAATTAATGGTGTTGGCAAAGAATACTGAATATACCATAGATTGCCAGAAGAATGAACAGATCTGTCTTGGAAGAAGTACAGCTAGAATGCTCATTAGAAGCACGGATGGCAAGAGTTTGTCTTACATACTTTGGACATGTTATCAGGAGGGACCAGGACATCATGCTTGGTAAGTAGAGGGTCTGTGAAAAAGAGGAATACCCTCAGCAAGATGGACTGACACAGAGGCTGCAATAGTGGGCTCAAACATAGCAACGATTGTGAGGATGGCATAGGACCGAGCATTGGTTTGTTCTGTTGTACATAGGGTCGCTATGAGTCAGAACTGACTCGATGGCATCTGACAACAATAAGTTAAAATTGAAGCTCAAGAAAATTAAAAGAAGCTCACGAGAGCTAAAGTATGACTTTGAGTATATCCCATCTGAATTTAGAGACCATCTTAAGAGTAGATTTGGCACATTGAACACAAATGACCGAATACCAGACGAGGCAGGATGACGTCAAGGACATCATACATGAAGAAAGCAAGAGGTCATTAAAAAGACAAGAAAGAAAGAAAAGTCCAAAATGGATGTTAGAAGAGACTCTGAAACTTGCTCTTGAACGTCGAGTAGCTAAAGCAAATGGAAGAAATGATGAAGTAAAAGGACTGAACGGAAGATTTCGAAGGGTGATTGGAGAAGACAGAGTAAAGTATTATAATGATATGTGTAACAGCCTGGAGTTAGAAAACCAAAAGGGAGGAACGTGCTTGACAATTCTCAAGCTGAGGGAACTGAAGAAAAAATTCAAGCCTCGAGTTGCAATATTGAAGGATTCTATGGGCAAAATATTGAACGACACAGGAAGCATCAAGAGAAGATGGATGGAATACACAGAGCCAGTGTACCAAAAAGAATTGGTTGATGTTCATCCATTTCAGAAGGTAGCACATGCTGCTGAAGGAAGAAGTCCAAGCTGCACTGAAGGCATTGGCGAAAAACAAGATTCCAGGAATTGAGGGAATACCAATTAAGATGTTTCAGCAAACAGATGCAGTGCTGGAAGTGCTCACTCAGCTATGCCAAGAAATTTGGAAGACAGCTACCTGGCCAACCAACTGGAAGAGATCCATATTTATGCCTATTCTCAAGAAAGGTGATCCAACTGAACGTGGAAATTGTTGAACAATATCATTAATATCACGTGCAAGTAAAATTATGCTGAAGATAACTCAAAAAATGTTGTAGCAGTACATCGACAGGGAACTGCCAGAAATTCAAACTGGATTCAGAAGAGGAGGTGGAATCAGGGATGTCAGTTGCTGATGTAAGATGGATCCTGGCTGAAAGCAAAAAATACCAGAAGGATGTTTACCTGTGTTTTATTGACTTTACAGAGGCATTCAACTGTGTGGATCATAACAAATTATGGATAACATTGCGAAGAACGGGAATCCAGAACACTTCATTGTGCTCGTGAGGAACCTGTACATAGACCAAGAGACAGTTGTTCAGACAGAACAAGGGGATGCTGCGTGGTTTAAAATCAGGAACGGTGTGTGTCAGCGTTGTGTGCTTTCACCAGACTTATTCAGTCTCTGTGCTGAGCAGGTAATCGGAGAAGCTGGACTCTGTGAAGAAGAATGCGCATCAGGATTGGAGCAAGACTTATTAACAACTTGTAATATGTAGATGACACAACCTTGCTTGCTAAAAGTGAAGAGGACTTGAAGCACTTACTGATGAAGATCAAAGACTACAGCCTTCAGTGTGGATTACAC